AGAACCTATCTGAGATAAATTGAAGCCCGCACCGCCTTGCAGGGACCTCCTTCAACCTCATTCCGTGACAGGCTGCTCACCCCATATTGCCATGTTCTGGGCCAGAACTCCAGAAATCGGATAATTCTAAATTTGAACCTACCATTCCAAGTTGTGAAGGTAGGAGAACAGAATACATTCAACAAAAATTGTTAGCTGCCAAGTACAGTGGCAAACATTTGTAACAAGAGCACCTGGATTGGGAATTCAGTGCCATCCTGGGCTACATGGCAAATTCAAGACCAACCTGGGCTTTGGAAATACCCTACCTCGAAATAAACAAACAAATAAAAACAACAGAACTTGTTAGTTTTATGTATAACTTTTAAGTATTTAGATAAATACATATGGGCTTCTATTCATACTCTTGCCCTACACCCCACAAATGCTGGGATAAGCCTTTTTTTTTTTTTTTTTTTAGAAAGGATTTTACTGTGCAGTTCAGGCTACACTTGAACTCACAGTGATCCTCCTGCCTCAGCCTCCCAAGTGCTGGGATTACAGGTGTGTGCTACCACACCCTGCCTGGGATAGGCCAAATTAAAATAAAAAGTACTTGAAACTACAGAGCTATATATTTAAGGGAAAATATGTTTCCCTGTTACTTACTAAAATCCTACTATAACTTAGATACTTATTTAAAGTTACTGATTCATCTTGAACATGTTCTCTGGAATCAAGTATCTCCCAATCATAACTGTCTATAAATCATGCTTTCCCTAAAAATGTTTGACATAACTCAATAATTATTGGCACTTGTTTTTTCTTTCTTTTTGTTTTTTATTAGTTTTTTTTTTTTTTTGAGACAGAGTTTGACAATGCAGTTCAGGCTGGCCTTGAGCTCACTTTGTAACCCAGCCCGGCCTCGAACTCAAAGCAATCCTTCTGCCTCAGCCTCCCAAGTGCTGGGATTATAGGCGTGAGCCACCAGGCCCAGCTACTGGCATTGTTGATTTCATCATTTCCACACCAGGTGTGAATCACAGCCCTTACTGGGTGTACGTGGCCTTCCTGTAGTGTCTGCTGAGGCAGCCCTCCCCCTCTTTCCATGTTTGGCCTCAGTCTCCCTCTCTTCACTACCATGAGGTACACGTCTTTTGGCAGGGGGCAGGGTTTGAGACAGGATCTCACTATGTAGTATAGGCTGGCCTTGAACTCCCTTATGTAGTCCAGGTTGGCCTCAAATTCATGCAGACCTCCTGCTTCACCCTTCTGAGTGCTGGGACAACAGGTGTGTGCCACCATATCTGGTTGTTAGATACACTTCTAATGAAACTAAAGCAATGTATTTTTTAAATTCATGGTTAAAGAAATTTTCTGAGGTCCAGGAGTATAGCTCAGTAGCACAGACTTGCCTGGCAAGTGTGAAGTCATGGGTTTAATTCCCAGTACCAAAAAAATAAAACAAAAAAAAAAAATTAAAGATATTTTCTGTTATTTGTATTTTTAATACTAAATGAGTTAATCTATTAGTATTCCTTTTTCTCAAAAAAAGAAAAAACAGCTAACAATTGTTTTTGAAAATGACAGGGCCAGGCATGATGGTACATGCCTGTAATCCCAGCACTTGGGAAGCTGAGGGAGGAGGATCACCATGAGTTCAAGGCCAGCCTGGGCTACAAAGTAAGTTCCAAAAGAGCGTGGACTTTATAGTGAGACCCTATCTCAAAACAAAAGAAAGAAAGAAAGGAAGGGAGGGAGAAAAAGAGAAAGAGAAAGGGGGAAAGAGAGAGAAAGAGAAGAGAGAAAAGGGGAAAGAGAGAGAAAGAGAAGAGAGAAAGAGAAAAGAAAGAGAAAGAGAAAAAAGAAAGAGAAAGAGAGAGAGAGAGAGAGAGAGAGAGAAAGAGAGAGAGAAAGAGAGAGAGAAAGAGAAAGAGAAAGAAAGAGAAAGAGAAAGAGAAAGAGAAAGAGAAAGAGAAAGAGAAAGAGAAAGAGAAAGAGAAAGGACTCAGATTTTCCCCTCATGGGGTTTATATTTCTACTGGGAAACACAGTCTATTTTGCTATGTCAGACAGTGTATTGCTGAGGCTTCTGATGTCTTTTCCCCCTCCCATGGGGGACGAGAAAGAGCAGGCCCGCAGGGACAGAGTCCTGGAGATGAGCAGGACCTGAGCTCAGTGTTTACCCACAGGGGCTGGGAGGGAATGGAGCCAGAGGGTAAGTGTAAAACTATTTGGGGTGGTGTGGCAAAGGTTAAGCATTAATCTGGAGGAGGAAAGATCTTGTCATCTCATGGAGTCTAAGGGTCAAATTCAGAGTTAAAAATAGGGGATGAAGTCAAAGACGAAGAATGCCAGTAAACACAAGCTCAGCAGCTCACACAGGTATATGGTGAAGAAACCTGGATGACCAAGGGCAGCAGGCAGAGGCAGAGCTTCCTGTGCAGGGTGAGCAAGTGCAGGCCAAATCTAGGTCAGAGTGACAGAGGACACTGACAGGGGACAGAGTGACAGAGGCCCAACCGAACCCACATTCTATGTCTGGCCAGTATGAGGTCCTGAGTTCAATTCCTGGTAAAAAAGAACTCACATTCTAGTGCTCAATGAAGACTTTGCACACAATAAAATAATGCATTTACTGGTCAACAATATTTATGCATAAGGCCCAAAAATTCAGCAGATTTCCTTAAAAGAAGCAGAAGGGGAAAAAAGGCGTGACTGTATTGTGAATGACTTGTATTTTTAATACCAAATGAGTTAATCTAGTAATATTCCTTTTTCTCAAAAAAAGAAAAAACAAAAAGAAAAAAACAGCTGACAACTGTTTTTGAAAATGACAGGGCCAGGCAAGATGGTGCATACTTGTAATCCCAGCACTTGGGAGGCTGAGGCAGGAGGATCAGTGGGAGTTGGAGACCAGCCTGGACTGTATAATCAGTTGAAAGCCAGCCTGAACTACAAAGGGAGACCCTGTCTCCAAAGGGAAAAACAAAACAAAAACAGAAACAGATAAGGTGGCACAGCCTGTATGCTCAACACACTGGGAGGCTGAGGTAGGAGGCTTGCAAGTTAGAATCTAGCCTGGGCAATTTGGTGATTTATTTAGGAACATTATGTCTCAATGTAAAAGCAAGAAAAGCACTGCAGAAGTAGCTCAGTGCAAAAGTCCTAGATTCCTGAGTACCAAAAGGGCTGGGGAGATAGTTTAGTCCTTAGGATCAATTCCCAATACTGGAAAAACAAACAACCAAATAGAAAACCAGAAAGCTTCTTCTTCTCCACCTGCATCCCCTCATCCCTAACCCCTCACACCTGAGTCTGGAACTCAGCCTGGAACTCATAGGCACTACTTCTGCAGTCTTCACCTGTGACAAATATTTTCCAGTCTCTTGCCTCAAGGGCTGAGGTGGCTGTGGAATCATGGAAAAGAACCAAATCCACAGGTACTCACATGTGCAGAGCAAATACTTCATGGGCTTCAGGACATGATGCCCCACCAGCAGTGGTACAGCACATGGACTCTGGCTAGAAATGCAGACAGTAGACACCAAAGGCCCTAAAATGACATTTTATCACCGTGTCTTAGTCAGGTTTGACTCTCCCAGCACCCAACCTTCATGTCAGCAGCAGCATTGCTCTCAGAGAAAACCCAGTTCATTACCAGTGCTGCTGCCCTCAGCAAACACAGGATGTCATACAAAGAGATAAGGCAGAGCATGTACTCTTCCCGGCGCTGCAGCATCTGAAGACACCCATACATTCACACAGGACACTGAGGACTTTGACCACTGAGGCACTGGACATGCAGAGAACTTTGACCAAGTTTGCCCAGGTCTCCTCATCTGAGGCCCCTGACCCCCTTTCCAGATACTTTGCCTGATCTCCCACTTGACTCTACCTTTTCCAAGCCCTATACAAGGCTCTGCTTTTCTTTGCTCCACACAGATGGCCTTTTTTAGCCTCTGTCAGGCTGCACCCAGGCACGATAAACTTCACACCACATTCCCGTCACACGAGCCTGGTGGCCTCTGGCTGGTCTCTCATTCACGCTGTTCCTTACTGTCTCTAAAACAGGCTTTTGCAAACCACTGGCTACAGACAGAAGTTTCACTTTGAGGGAAATTAGTTAGAATGCACTCTCCACTTACCTTCAGTTTCATCTACCTCTTTCATATCCTATCAGATTCATTTTACTTCCAATGGTATATGTTTTGTAAAAACTAATCAGGACACGAAACAGCTGCAATCCTATCAGTCTTGGGAGGCTGAGGCAGGAAGGTTTGAGCCCACCCTGAGAAATTTAGAAATACTCTCTCAAAATTTTTTTAAAAGGGTGGGGTGTGGTAACACACACCTGTAATTCCAGCACTGGAGATCCTGAGGCAGGAGGATAACCTCGAGTTTGAGGCTACATATTGAGACCCTGTCTCAAGAAAAGAAAAAAGTAAAGAAAGAAACTTAAAAGTATAGATGACAATGACATCAACATTTCCTGCTTCCTCTGGCACGTGTCATTGAGTAATGATGACAGGATTAATTAAACTAACCACAGTACTATTTCCTTCTTGATTTTTTTTTTTTGTTGTTGTTGTTTTTTGAAACAGGGTCTCACTGTATAGCGTAGCCTGGCCTCAAACTCAAGGCTATCCTTCTGCCTTAGCCTCCCAAGTGCTGGGATTATAGGTGTGCGCCACCACACCTGGCCCTGCTTAGTTTTCCTAAGTTCCTATGATCTATTTCAAATTACAGTCTTCAAGTTTCTAAATCAAATAGAGCCTTTTTTGTTGTTGTTGTTGTTGTTAAGAATAAGACCAGGGCAAATAATGCCAAGGTAACAGATTTTTCTGACAAAAGTATGTCCCTGATTATTGCCTCTGCACTCTGGAGAATAAAGGATCTCACAGATTTATGAAAGGAAGTTATCCCAATAGGAAGAAAACAGTAAAGAGGATAAAGGATTTGAGTGCCAACTGATAAAGCTTAGGAACAGATGGCTTGATGAAGAATCAAGAAAAGAAGCCAGACATGGCAGGCACATGCCTGTAATCCCAGCACTCAGGAGGCTGAAGCAGGAGGATTACTGTGAGTTCAAGGCCAGCCTGGGCTACATAGCAAGATCTTGTCTCAAAAACAAAACAAAACAAAACAAAACATGGAAGCCCTGCAAGAACATGATTGGAAAAGGAGATATGGGGCCGGGGATATTGCTCAGTGGCATAAGCGCCTGCCTGTCAAGCACAAGGTCATGAGTTTGATCCCGAGCACAGACAAAAAAAAGAAAAAGAAAAAGGAGATATGGCCAGGCACACTTATGTGTACACTGCGACAAAACAGTATAGGGGAGCAGAGCTGGGAATGTCTGCTCACAGGGTTGCAAGAGCGATCTGCAGATCTGGAGCACAAACAACCGTGAGAGAAGACATTTGGCAAACAGAACACATGAGCACCTATGTGTGCTTTGGAAAGCACAGTCATTCCTTGGACAGCCCTAGGGTTTGGCAGAAGAACAGACCTTCCAGCCTTCCTACAGGGAGGAGGAAAGACTGAAGAAGTGCATTAGCCAGAACTTGGTCTCATAACCACACGTAACTATGAAGGAGGCTGATAGATGGTTATTTATCCTGGGTGGCGATTTTCCAAGTTAAAATTAGGGAGAAGGCCAGGTGAATATTAGAAGAAAATTGGCAGCATACTTCATAGGCCATGCAATAAATATTGATTACACTGTCTAACCATAATAGCATTTTTGTTTTTTGGGGGAAATTGTTCTCTTACTGCAACCAAGTGAATTTTGAAGGGACTTGTCAGTAACAGTATCCTTCCTTCACCACAGGGACAAAAACTCCTGACTCAGTTTGCTGTCACAGTACACACCTGTAACCCCAGCACTCGGGGAGACTGAGGCAGGAGAACTGCAAGTTTGAGCTCAAACCTAGTGACTATGGGAGACCCTCTACCAAAATAAAAAGTAAAGAGCTGGTGATACAGCTCAGCCCAAAAGTTCTGGATTCAATCACCAGTAACACAAAAAAAGAAAAAGAAGGAGAAGAAGGAAGAGGAGGAAGAAGATCATAGTAATGATGACGATAAATTTTTTTAAAAAAGAACTCCTTGCCAGGCATGGTGGCGCATGCCTGTAATCCCAGCACTCGAGTGGCTGAGACAGGAGGATTGCTGCGAGTTTGAGACCAGCCGGGGCTATAAAGGCCAGCCTGAACTGCATGGTGAGACCCTGCCTCAAAAAATAAAAAAAATAAAAATAAAAAGAACTCCTGACCCATGAGCTTTCAAGCTTAACAGCCCCATCTACCTTGACCTCAGCAATCAGTGAAAAGATGACAATCCAAATTTAACCTGTTGACAAAGGAAATTAGGGCATGCAAAACTGGCTGGGGAAGAGCAGTGTCCTGTTAACTACAAGATCCCAAGAGTATTTCACTCTGGAATGCTCCCTACTCATCTGGAGTAGCTATCTATCATCTGTCTCCTTCCCCTGTTTCTCCACCTTCAAATAAATTGTCTGCTTTAAAAAACAAAACAAAGAATCCTGGCCTCGAAGCCCCCCTGGAAGGAGGGCTTCCGGCGCACAGGGAGCCACGGGCGGGGAGCGCCTGTCTTCCGGCTGGCTAGCTTCCTGCCTCATAGGCCCCCAGAGGGAGGGCCCCCAGCGCATAGGGAGCCATGAGGCGGCGAGCGCTGTTGCGCGCCAGCCCTTAGGCCGGCCGCCGCCGCTCAATTGAGATCTATCATGACACAGAGAAACAGTGACACAATTGGCCCACCATGCACCGACTGCAGTTGCCCACCCACAGATGTGTGTGAATCATTCAAACTTTGAACAACCCCTGGGAATACATGCCATACAACGGGCCACTCTTGCTCCTGCCATTGAGAACCAGAAAGGTCCAGAGTCAGCGGAGGAGCAGCTGCTGAACAAGGACTCAGAGAACATGAGAATGCAGACTAAGCCCATGGAGTCAGAGGTCCAGTGGACTCGGGTCACGAGAGCCGCTCAGAAGCCGTAAACCAGGAGGACCTTGCACAATACCTGCAGAGACTCACTGGAAGCCATTCTTCCCCTGACAGTACAGGCTGTGGTGGAGCTCTGGAGAAGTCTGCAGCAGGATTCCTGCTGCCTGTGCTGACAGTTGGGGAGAGGACACTAACTGGTTGTGGGGTCCCAATGCAATGGGAAGCTGGAGAGAAAACGCTACAAAAAATGGCTTTCGCCCCAGATGACTCACTTGATTTTTGACAACCCTTAGGCTGTAACTACTTGTTAGATCCTTCTTGTGTATCTCTGTCTTCCTGAGAAACCACTTTGAAGATACCACCATGTATTACAGCAGTCATTGATATTTTCCTATTAATCTATCCATAACTCTCTAATGTTTGTATTGTTCCTATCCTATTTCATAAATGGATCCATGTTTATTATTATGTGTTTCCTACAACAACCATTGAGAATTATTGAATGATTATTCAGTAGGTCACTCAAGTATAGTTCTATTTATATTCTTTAGAAGCCACTTTGAAGATACCTAAGTATAGTACAACAACTATAGATAATCTCCTACCTCTTTTGTCTGTAACTCACTATCATTTGTCTATTTGTTTTCCTGAGAAACTATCTTATAGATAACAATATGTAAAACAATAGTCATTGATAATTTCCTACCACTTTGTCTGTAATTTGGTAAGCCCCTCCTATTATTATGTTATCCTTCTTTTACTCTTTAAAATAAAAACAAAACAAAACAAACAAATCCCAGAACACAGGCGCAGAACAAAGTTCTCCAAGCCCTGCAGTGGACTTCTCGCGAGAACTAGAGCAGGTTTTCAATAGGGCAGCGTGGACCTGCCGTCAGCCTGAACGCCGGACACCAGCACCGTCTCTCCGGAAGTTCTTACAGGTTCCCTCAAGATCTGGGCAGTGTCAAAGGATACAGGCATCAAGAAGAGCTTGCTATCCTGGCTTCCCTCATAATATCCCACTCTGCCTCCTCTGGGTGTTTTTTTATCCTACTTTTTCCTCTTTTACTCAGCCCAAGCTCACTCCACAGAGCCAGTTTCTCCCTCACACTTCACTTTTACTTTTTCAAATAAACTTTGCTGCTGCTTTTTGCTCGTTTTGTTCAATTCTTTGTTCCAGATGGAAAGAACTCAGAACACAACTCTAGAAGGAGTTGTGAGCAACTCAGAACCCAGTTACATTTAAAGCCGAGCCTGGTGGCACACACCTGTAATCCCAGCACTCACAAGGCTGAAGCAGGAGGACTGTTGCAAGTTAGAGACCAGCCTGGGCTACAAAGCCCAGCCTGAACTGCATTGCGAGACCCTGTCTCAAAAAGACCAAAAAAAGAACCCAGTTACATTTATTTGGTGAGCCACTTTTAGAAGGAGCTACCTGATAACATTTTGGTGTAGCCCACCAGGAGGCTCAAAAGCCAGGAGATTCTAGTATCACTGTGAGAGCCTCCTGGGATTTTTCTAACTGAGTTACTCTCCAGTTATAAGGATATAAACTCAGGGCTTCTGAAAGCTATGGCTGAAATATATAGACAGCAACTTGAAAGACTAAAGCCAACACAGAAAGAGAAACAAAGATGAATGGTGAAGACAAAGAAAGGAGGAATTTTTAGATAATATCCAAGGTCTTGGTGCCAGTCATCCATGAAAACAACTCCTCCCCTGCCCTTTCTGCATGTGAAGCAATACATCTCCCCTTCTTGCTTAAACTCATTCCATCTGGTTATCAGTACTTTGCCAACAAAAGTAGATTTATGTTTTCTTATTTTTGAGTTTGATTTGTTTTGTTTTGTTTTAGTTTGGTTTATTTGAGACAGGGTCTCATTATGTCGCCCAGCTTTGCCATGAACTCACTGTGTAGCCCAGGCTGGCCTCAAACGCAGGGCCGTCCTCTTGCCTGAGCCTCCCTAGTGCTGGGATTATGGGCACACACCACCACACCTGGCTATTTATATTTAAATGTTATTTAAACTTAAAATATTGAAGATTTTAATTTCTAAACACTTAACAAGTGATGCAATCTACAAAATCAGTGGATGCCATTAATCATGTGATGGGCCTCTGCTTAAATAATCTTCACCTTTCAGTGTTCAGGTAACGTAGATCAAATGTAAGCGTGGTGTGGTGGACCATGCTGTAACCCCAGCACTCTGGGAGGCCAATACAAGAGAATTGGGAGTTCAAATCCAACCTGGACAATTTAGTGATTTTTTTAAGACCCTGTCTCAGAGCCAGTAGTGGTAGTGCACCCCTGTAATCCCAGCACTTGGGAGGCTGAGGCAGGAGGATTGCTATGAGTTCAAGGCTAGCCTGGGCTACAAAGTGAGTTGAAGGCCAGCCTGAATTGCACACAGCAATACCCTGTCTCAAAAAAAGGACCCTGTGTCAAAATAATAACAGGCTAGAGATGTAGTTCAGTGCAAAGGAGCTGGGATCAATAGCTGGTACAAAAAAAAAGTATTGTTCTAAGAATATTTTGTATGGGAGAGACATCTGGGTTCTGAGAATGTAAGGTTCTGAGACTCTAACTTCAAGATGCTAATCATAGGGGAGGCAGAGAGGTAATAATTACAGTGCTATGGAAATACATGAAATGTGAGCATTGGCACAAAGACGTGTGATCAATGCCACCTTTGTGGCTTCACTTACCAAAGAAGGCTCAGTTGTATCTTTTAGTGCAGAAAGACAAGTGTTAAGAAAAAGTAGATTTTCTTAAAATCCCAAATTACCAATATCTCTTTTCATTATTATTTTCCTATGAGATGATGGAATTTTATTTTATCATGAGGGATTTCAAGTAGAAGAATAATTTGGTTAGTTCAAATTGCTGAGATGACTAATTACCCAAGACCAGATGAATTTCTCAGGCATTTTGTTTTGTTTTGAAAACAGGGTCTTGCTATGTAGTTCAAGCTGGCCTTGAACTTGTTCTGTCAATCTCAAGATCCTCATGCCTCAGCCTCCGAAGTGCTGGGATTTCAGGCATGCACCACCATGCCTAGCACTCAAGTATTTTTAATACAGGGAAAAAATATAAGGAGAGAAAACTTCAACTGCAGGGCATGGTGACAAGTGCCTATAATCTGAGCTGAAGGAGGAGGAGAACAAGGACAACTTGGGGATAGCTAAACTGAGGTAAAGACTAGTCCAAATTACATAGCAGTACCAAGTAGTCAAAATAATATATCACTATTCGAAGCACAAAACCATAATTTCAGGCAGAATTCCTTTAGGTGGGAAATTAACTTATTATACAGTATGTATATGATATTAGTATGTGATATTTAGTGATATTCATGTTTTCCCTAGATAGTTTATACATAACTATTCTACTCAAAAGAGTTATTTGTCAAAGTCAAAAATATGTGCTAAGACCATAGGCTGCGGTTGTCAATAGCACCCTTAATACAACAGGCACCTAAAAAAAAAAAATACAACAGGCACCTGAAACCACATGTTACAACTAAGTGGGCCAAAAATAGTCCAGGTTCTTATGTACAAACAAGAACCTGTGGTATTGTTACGGAACCCCGTACCAAACCGAATGGAAAATGCTCTGCACCGAGGAGTTGGAAGGCAACCAGCTTCGTTACGCGCGCTGATGGAGGATCACTCCCAAAGCGTCAGCCCATATAGGTTTTGCAAGCAGGAGACACAAAAGTTTAAAAGCATGGTGAATTCTTATTGGGTAGCACCAGTTATTCTTCACTGCTGGGCAGAAAGTCCTTGAGACAAGTTAGCAAATGGGGCATGTTTGGGGGCTGCAAAGTACAAGCTGTGCAGCTGGGTGTGGTGAAACTGAGCTGGGCCAGATTATCTCTGGTTTGCAGTCGGGCACAATCAGTCAAGGCTGACTGAGTCTAACAGACAAGCTACGTGGCAGGCTGCATGATCTTATTTTGTCCTAATATGCTGTCAAACTGCTAGTTGATTTTTAAATTTTTAAAATTTCCATCACAGTATGTAGTGAGTAGCTCCATTCATTGACGATCACAGGACGGTACCAGAAGCAGGGAGAAGGGCAAAGGGAAAGAGAGAAGGAGAAAGGGACTCAAGAGGGAAGGGGAAAAGTGGGCTCAGTAACTCAGGTTTCCCACATCCACAGGGTCGGACACCACGCATCCAAGCCCCCACTGTGTCTCTCTCTGGGCGGTGCTGTGTCTGTGGTTAATGGGGAGAAAGGAAGAGGCTCACACAGCTTCCCTGTTTCAGGCTATAGAAAGCGTGGATAATCGTGAGGGTGGTGTGGCATTTACAGCTGAGCAGAGGGAAGGGAGTGACTCCCTCAGCTCCTTTGTTTCCAGCTGTACCACAGGCACAGCAAGCCACGCAAACATTCAGCTCCACAAAATTCCCCAACCACTGGATTAAACCCCACCAGAAGCACCTGGCCTAATGAAGTTTTGTAATTCTCAAGAGAATGTAGGCCAAAAAAAAAAAAAGAGAGAGAGAGAATGTAGGCAAAGCCAAGCTAGGAGAAAAGACAGTAAAAAAAAAAATGAAGCATGTAGCACAATGAATGTTTTCCCATATATATACATATATATGTGTGTGTATATATATATATACATATATATGTATATATATGTATATATATATATGTATACATATGTATATATATATATACATATATATGTATACATATATATGTATATATATATATAGTTGTTGTTTGTTTGTTGTTGTTTTTTTTTTTGTTTTTTGGTTTTTTTTGTTTTTCTCCGGTACCGGGAACCGAACTCACGACCTTGCGCTTGCCAGGTAGGCGCTTTGCCAGTGAGCTAAATCCCCAGCCCCTGTTTTTTGTTTTTTAAAGAATAGAAAAATTTATTGGGGCTGGGGATATAGTTCAGCAGCACAGTACCTTCCTGGCATGCACAAGGTCTTGAGTTGGATTCCCAGTACCAAAAAAAAAAAAAAGAAGAAGAAGAAGCCAGACAGGTCTAGCACGACTGAAAATTTATTGGGGAGAGGGAATGGGGAACAGGAATAGCTCCTGAGAGACAGGAGGGGCCCCAAATGGGTGCCCTCCAGATGTTTTTATTGTAAAACATACAGAACACAAACTTTATTTTCTTCACCATTTTAAGCAGACAGTTCAGTGGCATTAAGTACATTGCACTGCTGGGCAACGAAAACCACTAGCCAACTCCCTAATAAGGCCCCATCCTACACTCTCCCACCCTGGAAGCCACTGGTCTTTCCATCTCCATGATTTTGACTCCTCCACCTCATTTAAGTGGAATCATACAGTATTTATCTTTTTTTGTGATTGGCTTATTTCACATAGCATGATGTCCTCAAGATTCATCCTGTTGTACACATGTCAGGATTTCTTTTCAAAGCGGAATAATATTCCACTATATGAATATACCACTTTTTGTTTACCCACTCATCTGTCAGTGGACACTTGGAGGATTGTATTGTTTTACAAATTAAAATCATGTTATTAATAATGTCTAGTACCACTTATATTTAATAGATAGAATAGTTGAATTGAGTTAGGAAACAGCTTTGTTTATAATTTTCATAAAGATTTCAAAGATAATATACTTGTTTATTCAGACTATTAGAGGAATGATTTTTGCCAAAATTGTTACAAATTTGATAAGAAGGGTTCAGTAATTAAAAACAAACAAGCTGGACTTGGTGGTACATGCCCATAATCCTAGCACTGGGGAGATTGAGGCAGGAGGATCACTGTGAGTTCAAGGCTGGCCTGGGCTACATAGTGAGACCCTGTCCCAAAAACAAAACAAAAAAACCAACCCACAAACAACCACCTTTATTGTGGTAATGCTGAGAGTAGGACCATCCATCCACAAAGTGATTAAACCCATTGCCCAGGGTCCTGACACTTGCAGGCTGCTGAGTAGGAGAATTTTATAGCCGGGCCTCATGGTACACACCTATAATCCCAGCACTCTGGGAGGCTGAACCAGGAGGACCCCAAATTCAGACCTTGAGCTCAAAGTCAGACCTTGTTTCAAAATAAAAATTAAAAAGAGCTAGATACATAGTTTAGGGCAAAGGCCCTAGTTAAACACCCAGTACTAAAAAAATAAATAAATAAAAGATTCTAGCTATATTTGAATTAACTTTCAAATGAGTTCATTCCTTCTTTTTGCTACCAGGAATTGAATTCAGGACATTATGCTTGCCAGGCAGGCGCTGTGCCATTGAGCTATATCCCCAGTCCTGAGTTCATTCTTGATAATTAGAAAATTTATGCATGTTTCTCAGATAAGCAACTACACTGATGACCCTATTGTCCAGGAATGTTTTAGATTTGTCAAGAATGAACGTACTAAGGAGTCCAGAAGTTTCACTAATTTCACCCAAAGCAAGCTCTAGGAACACACTTATTTGCAGCTTTTTCCAGCAACGGTTGCCTGTTGTTTCAGGCTCACAGTTCCCAGGACAAGCAATCTGATGCTAGCATTATCCTGACCTCCCATTTTTCAGACGAAGAAGCCAAAGATTAGAAAGCTCTAAGGAACTTACCCTAAGTCATATAGCAGAGAAGTGGCAACAGGTTCTTCAGATCCTGTCTTACTACACCATATTGTCATTTCTGAAAAAAAAAAATTTTTTTTTTTTTGAGACAGGTTCTTCCTATATAGTTCAGGCTGGTCTTGAATTCACTATGTAGTCCAAGCTGGCCTCAAATTTTTTTTTTTTTTTTTTTTTTTTTTTTTTTGGTTTTTCTCCGGTACCAGGAACCGAACTCACGACCTTGAGCTTGCCAGGCAAGCGCTTTTGCCGCTGAGCTAAATCCCCAGCCCCTGGCCTCAAATTTTTGATGATCCTCCTGCCTCAGCCTCCCAAGTGCTGGGATTACAGGTGTGCACCAGCATGCTGGGTATCATCTCTGAAATCTTAAAGTCCAGGTTTTCATAACCTGTAACCATTTCCTGTCCCTCTGCTGAACAAAATTACACCTGTTTTTTAGCATCAGAGTCATCTCAAGGTCTGGATGTCCTTGCAGTCTCTTAGTCACTCAGACCTCTCCCACAGCACTTCCTCCCCGCAGAGCCTGGGCCACAGTCAGACTGCGGCACACTGGCTCCATCTGTGCTTACGTGTAGAGTGCATGAGCTCCTAACTTCAGAGCCGGAAGATGCTTCTCCACAATTGTATTCTAAGCACAGATGTAGAAAATTATACCTGTGGACTAGTAACAATAACAAATTTTAAATTTCAAATTAGAATTCAAAACCAGTCTAAATCCTCCACTTAGCATTCTAAACTTACTCTGACATCCTCCCTTTATCATCATTACCTTACTCCTTTTCACAAGAATACCTCATTTCCCAGTTCACAGAGAAAACTGGGCTTTGGTATGGTGGGAAAACACTTATTTAACCTCTAGGCCCTGCATTTATAAACCCATTAATAACTGAGTCCACCCTTATCTTCTGCAAGTTTCTCAATAAAACTCTTCCCTCCCAGCTCAGCGGAAATGTCCCTTCTATTCGAGATTAATTCTGCCAGTTACTGTGCATGCCATTTGCATTCCCTTCATCTCCTATATTTCAGTTTTCCATCTCCCTCCTAGATCCTCTGTGCAACCCACCACAGTCCCACTTTGAAACAAACAAAATGAAAACCAGCCTCGTGAAGCATTCCTTGGAACCTGCATCTCCTTCAAATTCCTGATACCCCTCAACCAACCTTCTAGTTTACATCAAATCTCTTGTTTCTACTTCTTCAAATTCCATTTGCTCTTCAGGCCACTTGAACTGGGCTTCCATTTCCATCAGTTCACAACTCTTCTCACAAATGTCTGAAGTATCTGTAATAGTTGCCCACTTGGTGATTACTGTTCTTTTTTCACTAGTACGTTTGTGGGAATGACTGCATTTATTCATCCTGGGGAGTTGGTACATAAAACATGTACTTAACACATCTTAATTCTCTTTCTTTTTTTGAGACAGGGTCTTGATATATAGGTCAGGCTGGCCTTCAACTCACTATGGAGCCCAAACTAGCCTTGAACTAGCAGTGATTCTCCTGCCTCAACTTCCCAAGTGCTGGGATTACAAGTGAGTGCCACCAAGCTCAGCTCCTCTTGGTATCTAAAGTAGTTAGTGAATTTTATTTATAGACTTTCTAATACTAAACCATTCCAATCAACCTAGAATGAACCCTGATGGAGCCTTCTAACACACTGCTGGCTTTATTTGCTCAGACTATATACTTGTGTTCTGGCCTAGCGTATTCTTTTCTCATGCTGATTCACACGGTTTGGGTATCCTGGCTTTGCAGGGTATAAACTGAGCTGGAACATTTTCTTCCTTTTTCTATCTTTACACTAGATTAAGTTATAATTATCTCTGTGTCTCTGATGTTAGGGCGTGAATTCCCTGAAGCCAGGAACTGTGTCTGTCCCCTCATTCGCTGGTCTCCCTGCACCTAGGACAGTGGGTAACATTTGGCAGGATATCAAACAAGGTTAGTTAAACCACGCTCTCCTGGCTTTGACCTCACCAGCAGCACAATGTCTTTATACCTGTGACTGGTAGAGTCCCACACTTCCTTAGGTCCCTTATTCTTCTTCTGTGATTTCTTCACTGTATGCCTAACCATGCCAGCAAGAAGGAATCTAAAGAACATTTGTAAAATAAATTGAAGGAAGGTTTAAGTGACTTGGAAGAGCGCTGTGCCATCACATTTTAGACGAGGCTTGGGCCCAGGTCCAAACACCTCTTCTGCAGTGACAGTCGCCGGTCCGCACCTCCTTGTGTTTCTCGTCCTCGGTAACCTGCTCTTGCCCATCTGGCTCAGTGCCCCTCTACTGTCCCACACAAGGTGCCTGCTCACTCTCTTCTACCTGCATAAAATTTACCTGCCCTGGTTTTCATTTCCTCAGGGCCTAAGGATTCGGCCCACAAGTCAGACGAACTAATTTTTATTAATAGAGAACAGTAATCACAGAAGCCAAAAGCAGTGCATACCTCGGTGAATGGGCATTTTAAAGCATTATGCTTTTTCTGATTATAAAATACATGTTTGTTACAGAAAAAAATTAAACACACACACATAAAAAAAACCCACACGAAAGAAAACCAGGCATGGATGGGGGATATAGCTCAGTGCCTGTTAAGTGTGAGACCCTATTTTTAATACATATTGCTCAATTGTCTTATAAAATTTCTATTGCTTTATGTTTTTTCCAGCCCATTTCCTAGAGCAGTTACTGATACTGGTATTATCATTTTTGTTTCATGTTTGCCAAGCAAAGATCTACTTAATACAAAGGTATACATCTTTTAAATATAGCCTATTGAAGACAAAGTATCCCTCCACCAGCCTTCCAAACTCATTCTTTTCCTGCTGTCTAGACAACTAAGTGAAGGGAGATAAGAATCTTAGCTACATCCTTCAATGACATAAAAGACCACCCATGTATCTCTATGCCTCAAAGAATTTGCCAATGGGAAACAGCAGGAATACCTAAAGAAAATCTTTTGTCTCAGGTAAATTCTATTCATCAACCTATAAAATTAGGTGCACATGGTTATGCAAGCCTGCAATCCCACCCCTCTACCTAGCACTCTAGGAGGCTGAGGCAGAAGGATCATCACAAGTTCATGGCCAGCCAGGGCTACCTGGTGAGTTTAAGGCTAGCCTGAACTACATAGTGAGACCCTGTCTCAAAAAGCAAACAAAAGAAGGAAAAGGAAGAAGAGAAAGAGAAAGAGGAGGAAGAAGGAAAGGAGAAAAAGAATTCACAGAAGGTATAAAATGAACATTAGTGTAGTTACTATGATAGTTGTTAAAAATAACAGCCACCAAAAAAAATTAGCACCTATCATCTGCTCACTTCACTATATTCAGGTACCGTAGCAAACATTTTACCTTCGCAAAAACCCTTAAGGTCAGTATTATTATAGGTGTTGTAATGGGCAAAACTGAGGGCCCCACAGGTTAAAGAAACTTGTATAGAGTTGCATGAAAATAAGTGGCAAAGTCAGAATTCAACCAAGGCTACTTTAATTCCAGGTCCACATACTGAAATGCAAATAAACCGCTTCCTCTTAGCACTTTTTATTTCTCTCAAGGCTTTCATAGTTTGGCCCTGCTAATACATGCAGATACAGGGAAGAGGTGTTGTGAGCAATTCCTCGATGAGGGGCAGCATACGGTAAGAATGTACACAGAGCCTTGCAGAGCCGTTGCTTGCCATTAAGATCATAACCAGTACCACCCTTGCCAAGAGAACGGAAAAGTCTCCCCCATCAGCACTTGAGTCAGGGCCATGACAGCCCTATAGATTTCCCCTGCCGCAGCAGGAATGCCAATTACAGAGGGATGACCAGCCCTGCAGCCTACTCCAGCCCTTCCTCATTCAGCAACTTTGTTCTTTTTCTGTTTCTGCGCCCAGCTGACAGAGCTACTTTAAAAAAAGAAATCATTTCTGCAAACCCATTTGAAGCAGCTCATCCTGCTGGCTTTCAGCCAAGTAGCACTCTGTCAGAATAATGTAGAAATCCGTTTTCCAATGCTAAAATTAAAAAGCCTGAGTTGTTAGTATTTTTTTGAGTTGTTATGCCACTAGATAAAGCAAAAAAATAGAAATATATGTGAGCTTTGGCTTATCCAAAGTACCATATTCTGGACATTGCAATTTTATTATGTTTTTGTTGGTTTGTTTTATTTCTTTGTTTTGAGTCAGGGTCTCACTGTGTAATCTAGGATGGCTTCAAACTCAAGCAAACTTCCTGCCTCAGCCTCCCAAGTACTGGGATTACAGGAATGTACCACTACACCCAGCATTTAGGGACCTTTTTACTGTTTTGGGGGGGTTTTTTTTTTTTGGTTTTTTGGGGGTTTTTTGGTGGTACTGGGAATCAAACTCAGGACCTCATGCTTGCAAGGCAAGCACTGTGCCACTGAGCTACATCCCCAGCCGCTAGGGACCTTTTTAAAAGAAGTCAAAGTTTTCTGTTTTTTGTTTTTGAGGCAGGATCTTGCTCTACAGTTCAGGGCTAGGCTTGAACTCACTTTGTAGCCCAGACTGGCCTCAAACTCACAGTGATCCTCCTACCTCAGCCTCCCCAGTGCTGGGATTATAAGTATGTGCCACCACGCCCAGAAAGAAGTCAATGTTTTAGAGTGCTAGTAAGGTTCATTGTATTGTTTATTTTGTTTTTCTATTTTTTTTTTTTTTCTTTTGTCTCTTTTGAGACAGAGTCTCACTATGTAGTTCAGGCTGGCCTTGAACTCACTTTGTAGTCTAGGCTGGTCTCTAACTCACAAGGATCCTCTTGCCTCAGCCTCCTGAGTGCTAGGATTACAGGTGCACCACCATGCCCGACTTGTTTTTCTATCTTGCATAATTAATTTTAGCAGTTTCCTCAGTAAAGATCAACACTTGACAGCTTCCCAATACTTAAGATAAATCAGGGATACAGTGTTCCAGGCAGCAGTAGTTGGGAGAGCTGAGCTCCAGGAATGGGTGGGCAGAGCAGAAGACAAAAAGGAGTCTGAGGCTGGAGGCTTGAGCCTAAGGGCCAAGAGAGGGTGCGGGGGTGGGTGGCAGGAGTGCTCTCACAAAGTACAGTTACATTTTGAAAATCTAATGTCCTCTGACCCAGAACTTCAGCTTCGCGAGTTCCAGGCTCTAGAAAAGAAAAACCAAGCCCATCCTGAGTGTGTGTGTGTGTGTGTGTGTGTGTGTGTGTGTGTGTGTGTGTGTGTTTAGGGCTGCATCTTGTTTGTGGCTGTGATGGCTAAGCACTCTATTAAAGCTAACATTGATACAGGGGAAAGAAACCCCCAACCTACTAGATGTCTAGTAAGCTTTCGTGTTCTCTAATATCAAAGGATGAATTCTAGGAACAATGGAGGTTAAGAGCAAAATATATTTATTGGGGAAAGAAAGCTACTGTCTGAGGGAGACACGGCCTTTTCTAGGGATTTTTATAGAGCAAAACTATGAGGCAAGGCTGGTCCCAGGCGGGGGAAATGGGAGATCACGAGGCGGGCATGAGGTGGGACAAAACCATAGTCAACTGATAAGATTACCAACAATAATGGCTCAGGTAGTACTGATTAAATGGGGATCGAATGGGGAAGGAATCAAGTATCTAGTGGTGTGAAACAGGACTGGGGCTCTTCCTGGAGGGGGTTGGGTCAGTGGCTCTTTCTGGTTTTCAGGGTGATCGATACCTATTTAGAATATCAGTCACTGCTGTTTATCCCTAGGGGTAGTATGTGGGTGCCTTACTCTCACCTTTGGTCTTGAGACCTGGCCCTCATCGGAGGTGCCTCCTCCACAGTGGCAATGTACCCCATGTTCTGCGCGGCTCCTTCGAGCACCCCGCCCTGTCTGACTGCCTACAATATTTCTCCCTACCTCAGCTGTCTATAACCACACCATTTGCTAGGAAGGAGCTCGGTTCTCCTTTTCACAATGAAACTGCAGAGCAGTTAACGGCCTCTCAGGAGCGGTACGGTTAGAAACACAGGAGCGCAGTCACGCCTGCCCTGCGTTCGACTACAAGCGCCGCAGCACCCTCCCCAACGTCGTGAGTTACGTCGGCGGCGGGGACGGATCGCCGCGCCGCGCCCCTGCCCGGCTGAAAACACAGCTCCCCGTGATCCTAAACCTGGGGCCAGTAAAGAACTAAAAAGCCAAAGTTCAGTACAACGGAAGGTGGTTCCTTAGAGGAGAAATGATGGGAAAGAAAGAGGATAGGCAGCCAGCGGGAGGTGGGCGGGGCTTCAGAGCTGACCGCCCCGGAGCTCGTATCCCCCCGAGTCTTTCCCATCCTCCAGCTGGGGGCTTGTCGATACTGATCCACTGTCTTTGGTCCTAACCTAGGCCTTTTGGCCTTTTGGTTTCTCCCTGTCCCTTTATAATGAATAAGTGAAGGGCAGGGCCTATTAGAAAGGCAGCTTACTTAATAATTAAGTAAAGGAGACACATGTACATGTGTGTATCTGGTGCAATGTTATACTGACGTTAAAGTGAGAACACACGTGTGCACATACCTAGGGCTGTGTGTGTGCACACGTGTCTTACATGTGAAATAAAAGTCCTTAGATGGCTGTCTCCCATCACCCTTGCCTTTGTCAGGTGAGTGAGGGGAGCTGGCTTTCCAGGTAATGGTGCTGCAGGGCACAGCTCCCCCACCTAGTAGCTTTTCCCGCCTTTGTCTTTCTAATTACCCTAATGTTACAGGCCGCTGAGTTAGATAGAAATATTATAGGCAGTCAGACAGGGCCAGGCCCTGGAAGGAGCCAACGTGAGAGACACATAAGACACCTGGGGGCCAGACCTCAAGACAAAAGGACTAAACAAGTGCACCCACATACCTCCCTAGGTGTGAACATCAGGGATTGATATTCTAAATAAGTATCAACCACCTTCAAAAAGCCAGAAAGAAAAATGAAAAAAAAAACCAAAAAGCCCAACCCCTTAAAGGAAAAGCCCCTGTTCTGTATTCATACCTGCTTGCTACGTGACTCGCTTCCCCATTTGATCCTGGTTTAATCAGTTTTACCAGAACAATTCTTATTGGCTGACCATAGGTTTGTCCATTTTTCCCTTACCTTGGACCTGCCTCACTTCATGGTTTTGCTCTATAAAAATCCCTAGAAAAGACAGTCTTGGGCAACTCGGGTGCCCTTCTGTCCCTCTCTTGGACAGAGCTTTCTTTCCCTCAATAAATATATTCTGCTCTTACCCTCCGTTGTTCCTAAAATTCATTCTTCAATTTTAGAGAACATGAACTTGTCCCAGATATCGTTCAGGTTGGGAGTTTTTATTTTCCTGTATCACCAACACCAGAGTCCACCTGTGAGGGCAGAAACTGCTTCTGGTGGTAGAGGCAGAAACTGCTTTTAGTAAGTTTTGCTATTGACCTCAATAAAGCTCAACAAGGCCTTTATCCCATCTTCTCCCTACCTACAGTGCCACCCGTCCCCACGCATGCTTCCGTAATCCTGAAACAGGGAAGCTGTGTGAGCCTCTTCCTTTCTCTCCGTTAGCCATAGTAACCATAGACACAGCACCACCCAGAGAGAGACACAGTAGGGGCTTGGATGCGTGGTGCCCGACCCTCTGGATGTGGGAAGCCCGAGTTACTGAACCCACTTTTCCCCTTCCCACTTGAGTCCCTTTCTCCTTCCCTCTCTTTCCCTTTGCCCTTCTCCCTGCTTCTGGTACCATCCTGTGATGGTCAATGAATGCAGCTGCTCACTACATACTATGAGGTGTACACTTGGCCATTCTTGCCTTGTTGTACCTGTATTTTTTTTTTTTGTACCAAGAATCAAACTCAAGACCTTGTGCTTGCCAGGCTGTTGCATGTACCACTGAGCTATATCCCCAGCCCTGTACGTGTATTATAGACAGCTAAGTTAGGTAGAAATATTAGAGGCAGTCAGAAAGGACAAGGGCCAGGGCCTGGGAATTTAGCTCAGCAGCACAGCGCCTGCCTGGCAAGCGTGAGGTCGTGAGTTCAATTCCCGGTGGGGGGTGGGGGCGGAATTTAAGAAAGGACAAGGGCCTCAGACAAGCTAGTGCAGAAGATAAAAACACATTACAACTGCTGCTGGAGGCGCTTTCACTGAAGGCCAGGCCTCAGGACAAAGATGAAGTGATTACACCTGCGTACCTCCCCAAGGGATAAACAGTGACTGACATTCTAAATGGGCATTAGTCACCTGGATGGGGGATCAGGACCTCCTGACTCATCTCTTCCAAAATAGGTCCTTGTTCTTTCTTCGCACATTTGCTACGTGACTTGCTTCCCCATTGGATCAACACTACATAGGCAGCTATACTTGTAATCTTACTGATGTGTCCCACGTTGTACCCACCTTGTGATTTTGCTTCATAGAATTTCAGTGGACAAGTGGGCTCATGTGCAACCCACTTTCCAGGTCCTCTTCCTGTCTCTTAGGAGCTGTCTCTGCCTCAGTAAAATTTTCTCTTAACCTCTTTTGTTCCTCAGAATTCATTCTTTGATTTTTTGGGAACACAAACTTGGCGTATCGAACATCTAACAGGCTGGGAGTTATAATACTTTCCTCATTTGGAGGTCCTACGTCATTCCTATCATACCTGGACTATTTTTGGCCTACTCAAAGCTGTAACAGTAGGGAATACTGGGGCCCAGAGAGTTAAGCCACACAGGTGGTGAGAAGATAAAACTGAGATTGGCTTTCAACTGTTTTAGGTTCAAAGTCAGTCTTTTCATCATAACACAACTTGCCCTCATGAAATATCTTTGCTGACTCATATCGACTCATATTTTATTTACTTGTAAGACTATGTGGCCTTCATCATTAATTTTGTGACTGCTCGGTATTCCAAAGAATGAAGCTGTAATTAGGTAGTCAATCATTTTTCTACTCCTGAAATTTTTATAATAAACTGCCATCCTTGTGAAGGCAAGTGGATAATCCCAGCACTCTGGGAGGCCAAGGCAGGAGGATCACAAGTTTGAACATAGCCTGAGCAATTTATTGATTTAGCAAGACCTGGTCTCAAAATAAAAAGTAAGCCAGGTGTAGTGGTGCACACCTATAATCCCAGCATTCAGGAGTCTGAGGCAAAAGGATCATTGCAAGTTGAAGGCCAGCCTGAATTACTGTAGTGAGACCCTGTCTCAAAAAATTAAAAAAAGAAAGGAAGGGAGGGAGGCTCAGGATGTAGATTACTGTGAAAGCCCTGGGTTTAACCTCCAGTACTGGGAAAGAGAGAAAGAAAGAAAGAAAGAAAGAAAGAAAGAAAGAAAGAAAGAAAGAAAGAAAGAAAGAAAGAAAGAAAGAAAGAAAGAAAGAAAGGAAAG